CCTCCCTTGAGGTACTTATAGACACTGATCAGGTCCCCTCTCAGCCTTCTCTTCTCCAGGCTGAACAGGCCCAGCCCCCTCAGCCTCTCCTCATAGGGCAGATGTTCCAGGCCCCTGATCATCCTTATAGCCCTGCGCTGGACTCTCTCCAGCAGCTCCACATCTCTCTTGCACTGTGGGGCCCAGAACTGGACACAGTACTCCAGATGCGGCCTCACCAGGGCTGAGTAGAGGGGCAGGATCACCTCCCGCGACCTGCTGGAGATTCTCTTTTTAACGCACCCCAGGATCCCATTGGCCTTCTTTGCCACGAGGGCACACTGCTGCCTCATGGTCAACTTGTCGTCCAACATGACACCCAGGTCTTTCTCTGCAGAGCTGCTCTCTCCAGGTCATTGATGAATAAATTGAACAGGACTGGACTCAGGACTGACCCCTGGGGGACCCCGCTAGCTACAGGCCTCCAACTAGACTCGGCACTGCTGATCATCACCCTCTGAGCTCTGCCATCCAGCCAGTTCCTAATCCACCTCATTGAGCACTCCTCTATCTCACACTTCTGGAGCTTGCTCAGGAGGATGTTGTGAGGGACGGTGTCAAAAGCTTTGTGCAAGTAGTCCTCATTTCACCTGTTTTATACACTCTACAGCAGAGAAGTTATGATTTCTTGGAGGAATGAAAAAGTGATGTGTCCATAATACATGATCCTGTAGTCTGGCACTTACTGTACTTCCTAAGAAATGAGAACACTTTGGTCTCAGCCATGGGACCAAAAAAAAATTACCATGCAGTCAGTGTTAATTACTGAATAAGATTTAGACACACATATTTTATCTAAATCCAGTGTTACCATCTCAAAGCTGTAATGTCAGCTGCTTTCTCAATCAGACAGCATCTTTATCCTGCATGTTCTTTCAGTCAGAAGAAAGTTCTCCAGGGAGTATTGCTCCTCCTAAGTGCAAGTGCAGGTTCCTCTGTAGGCAATTCCCTGCTTTGAAGCTGGCTGCTGTGAATGCCACCCAGAAAGAAAGAGCTTTGTCAGGCACTGCTTAGAAAGCACACATGCCTTGCCCAGAGTTGTAGAATTCATACAGACGTAAAGAATTAAATGCTGCAATACTTGGGCTATATGTACTTCTGGTGGTATTTTTTGCATCCTAAAAACCACCTCCAGATGATCATCTCCATTTAAGCTAAAGCTTAAAATTAAGTACTAAGAAATTTAAAATGAGAAATGACCAGTATTTGCTTGGAAATACCAATTTTTACCTTGCCACTATTTTAAACAAAACATGAATTACTTTTTCTTTTTCTCCTCTTTGTCAGCTCTGTGTCAATTTATCATCCACCATGACACCCAGGTCTTTCTCTGCAGAGCTGCTCTCCAGAAGGTTGGTTCCCAGCCTGTACTGGTGTCTGGGGTTATTCCTCCCCAGGTGCAGGACCTTGCACTTGGCCTTGTTGAATTGCATGAGGTTTTTCACCGCCCAGTTGTCCAGTCTGTCCAGGTCCCTCTGGATGGCAGCACAGCCCTCTGGGGTTAGGTTGCATATTTGGTTGCATATGCATATAGGTTGCATATTTGGAATAGAATTGCGTTATTTGGAAGAAACGCTGGTCTAAAACAGATTTTCCATGTTTGAAGAGCCAGATGTAATTTTAAATACTCTTTGGAAGGCATTTTTCTCCTAACTTGCTTTCCCAACTCTCATCTCCCTCCTCCAATCAATTTTTAAAAGTATGAAAGAGTATTGAATAGTAGAAATTCTTTATTACTATTCTGGAATTAAAAATAAGATATACATATAGTAAGTAATTAAAATTCAGTGTTAAATGAATATTGTTATAATTTACCTGGCTTAAAGGTTTAAATACCTTTTGGGAAAAAAGGAAAAGGTATTATTGGTAAAGAATGTATGGTAGTGACGGCAGTAGTCTTGGAGGATTTGAATAATTGCAGCAGTTCAATAGTGGGATTTTATATTCCCAAAGGCCATGCAATCAAATACAATTACAAATACAAGATTTAAGACTTCATGTACTTGTTGAAATGTTATATGAAAAACTACTGAGAAAAAAAAAGGAGGTAATATGAAATGAAGAAACATTTGAATTAAATATATTATTGCTTTGGGCGGGAAAGTGCAAGTTTCCCTCAATCTGAGTATAAAATAAGTCTGTCACAGTCCACTTTTTACTTTTCCGTAAGACGTAGTAGTATATGTGTCTCTTTTTAGCAGTTAATGTCTGACTGTTTTAAGATAGGAAAGTTCAAAATCCTTTCTCTGAAAAAACAGAACTTGTTAATTAAAATCCTGGTTCATATTCTTCTAGAATCTTCAGGTGCAGAGTCTTCATAGAGAGTGGCCTTAAAAGTTCACCTTGAAATTAGCAACATCCCCCTTCAAACCACAGCAATCTCTAAGACTTTAAGGAATTTTTTTGTAATCCATACCTAGGCTAGCAATGGAAAAAATATAGATATACATTTGCATTTTAGTTCAGATGGGAAATCTTGAAACAAAATACACAATTATTTCCACTAGTAATACTTTGGTTTGCACTGCAGCAGAGCATGTGAGGAGGATTTCTTTCAGATTAAACTAAATTGAAAAAGCAACCCTAAGAGCACGTAGGGCACTTCAGCCCCTACTGAGCTTTAACCTGCAGACCAGATTCCAGCTGGTCCTCCAGTAAAACCATCACAAGGGGTGTAGTTTGGGTGTCAGCTCTGTGTCAACTGTAGGCAGATACTCTGAATTCAGATATTAAATAGCATTCAATAGTGTGGTATATTTATTGCAAATAACAGGTAAGTAAAAGTAACCATATATGAAGTTAAGGGACACATACAACAGTGAAATAGAAATGGAAATACCTAAAACTCATCTAAAATTAACTTAGTGTTTTTACAATTTTCAAGTATTATTCAATATCTAAGATGTAAAGATGCCTGCGCTGGCGTTGGATGGCTGGGTAGTACATTGGAAGCTTGAGAGGTGGAGGAAATTATGGAATGCATTACGAGTTGCTTGATTGAAAGAACAAATGCAATTTGCAGTCTCGTAGTCTGGATGTGATGGTGATATGCAGAATGTCTCTGGGGTGGGAACTCATTGACCAAAGCCCTGCAGGAAGATTGAAGCTTCAGTGGAAAATCCCTGAGCAGTAAAGCATAACGAAAACCAAGTCTTTTGCATATAGTCTGCCCAAGCTACTGTTTTCCTTTGGAGCATTCTGTTTCATCCAATTAACTGTAGAAGACCCAGGACTATAGTGGCGTATGAATATTGGCATATATAAACACATGCTGTCGTGTTTCGTAGATGAGATTGTTCCTCAAATCTGTATTTTCCAGCAAGTTTATAGTATGATCTTATTGCAATCAGCTTTAAAATATTTGTACCAGAAAATGAGATTTGCCTTGTTTTGGTATATTCCGAGTTGTACAAAATTTGCGAACTACTTTTATTACTTTGCAACTACTGGATCATAAACTTGGATTAGTTTTATAGGATTTGTTGTATGACTTGACAGATGTGATATATGATGACACTTTATCTTTTATTGCTTACACATACTAGTTATTGGGAAAGGATGGGAAGATGGAGGCAGTTCTTATTAACCACAAGATGAGATTTCAGTTGCTTACCCAAGTGTCTCTCATTCATTCGTTCATTTGCTATCAGTTATAGCAGATATATTGCTTCTTCAAGCCTGTCACACCAATAAATCATTTCAGATTGTATGCATTTGTACAGTGCCAAAGTATAGCATGAATTTTAAAGGAAATCTCCTATTTTCTTTTCAATCAGATGAGCAATGTGAAGAGACTACGGCCACGGCTCAGTGCTATTCTTTTTAAGCTTCAGTTTGAGGAGCAGGTGAACAACATCAAACCTGACATCATGGCTGTCAGTGCTGCCTGTGAAGAGATAAAGAAGAGTAAAAGCTTCAGCAAGCTGCTGGAACTAGTATTGTTAATGGGAAACTACATGAACGCAGGTTCTCGGAACGCGCAGACCTTTGGATATAACCTCAGCTCCTTGTGTAAAGTGAGTTCTGAAATGTCCCTGTTAAGTTATAATATTGCATTCACTCTTTCATTTGTTTTTATTACACTCCTAAATACTTTGCTTTGTCTTCGTGGCAGTTAAAAATTTGTTTTTGTTTTTGTCATTATTCTTAACAGCAGTTGATAGCTTCAGTGATACAGTACACTCTGTACAGTGTGCTTTGGGATTAGCTTGTGTATAAAATTTTGGAAGTTTCTGTATTTAGGAAATAATGCAGAACCAAATTAAATAAGGCTGTAGAAGGACCATATCATTCTTGTTATAGTAGCATTACGGTCCTGTGTGTCTGGATATTTTTGACTGTCGCATTTCAATCTCTTCTTATACAGTTCTTTCTTGTGCATAAAACCTCTCCTTATCTGACTCCTTTATGTTAAAGCTCAATCTCATCAGTCCCCTATGTTTCATTTATTTTTTCTTATATAAAAGCGTAAGGATGAAAGGTTAAGGTATATGCAACAAGATATCTATCCTTTCCTGAATTGTACCTTGTAATCCAATCTAAGCTTATTCACCTCCCCACTACTTACAGTTCTAAATTTGTTTTCTTGTGCCCACTGGGAGGTCACTGCAGACTGTTCAGACATGCATTTAACATTTCTTATGAAGAAGGAATTATTTTGAAGTTAAGATGTATTCTTTGTCTTTTCATAGATTCCTTATCTTCTCACAGAATGAAGAAAATGTAGCACTTATATGTTAGTTCCTATTTTCTTCAAAATAATCAGCCTTACTCTACCATATTCCAGAAGTTCTATTACTCTAGTCCTCCAGTGTTAAATATACAGAGAAAATAGGTATCATATTCAAGTTGTAACTTATAAACATACCTATTCTAAAGTAAGTATTTAAGCATGTAGCAGCCACCTAGAGGAATACAGTGTAGATGAAATCATTGAATTCAAAAATACAGTGTGTTGAGAAATAAAAGTAATTTATAAGTTGGGAGTTAAAGGTTTTATCTGCAACTAGGAGTACTTTTAAAATATGTTTTACCAGGATCAGTCCTAGGTCCGGTTGTATTCTCTGCTTTTTTAAAAAAATGTGTAAGACAATGAAAAAAGCAATTATATTTATGGAAGCAATAAGGAATGTAAAGCTAGTTGTTACAAGTACTTAGGAGAGCGGAGTCAACATGATCTTGGAGAAATAATCTATGATCCAGAAGATGAAAAAGATGAAAAGCTATCACTTAGGGATCTGATGTACATACACAATGAAAATAAGGAAGAAATGTCCAGGCAGTGTTCCAGAAAATGTGTTTCAAGTCCTGACTAACAGTGTAGTGCACTGGCATTAAATGCATTTGATAAAGTAGGATCTTAGATATTTTAGTTATCAGACTTAGAGGTTATTTAGGTTTGCAAGACTCAACAATAAATTCCGTTACAGAAGAGGCATTCTTTTTCTGTGTTTTAGAAGGCCTTCTGTGTCATATAAATATGGTGATTATTCCTATGTATTTGATACTGAAAAGGCCTTAAGGGGAATCTTGTATGCAGCACTAAAGAAAATGTATAGACCGACAGGAAAGAATCCGGAGTGTAGTAACACTGCAATATTTCTGTTAGAAGAAAAGGAAGCGCTTGGGTGTATTTCATTTTGAAAAGAAATGTGAGGAGTATGAAGAGGATGTAAGTGTTCTTAGGTTGTTAATTTATGATAAAGAAGGCATTTAGATATTTGTCCGTGTAATTAAGGTAGATGAAATAATTGGTTTGGTGATAGCAAAGGAAGCTTGGATAAAAATTAAGAAAACTTTCTACAAAGATAATTAGGAACTTGATATTGATGGTGATTTAATAGAACTTATATCTGGCGTATATGATGCTACTTTTGATCAGGTTGGTAAGGTAGACAGAAAGCTATAAGAATGTAAAGAAAGGTTATTCTTATGCCTGTACTCATACAGCACTCAGAACTGTTGATACTGGTTTATTCCTTTTAGGACTTAAGTGTGCATGAGCATGCATCCCAGTACTCACTATAGTTATTTTGCAAAAGAAATCTTCAAGTATAAAATTGAAGTTCAAATTACAAAGTATTTCATATATTTGAAATATATATGGTGTGTATTTCCAGCTGGTAGTTCGGTAATACTGCTCTTTTTTTGTGTGTGTGTGTGAAAGTAATGCCACCTTAATGTCAGTGAAGGCTAGTATACTGACTTAGTAAATTATTATAGGTTTTGTTGGAGGCAGAGCAATAGCTATGGCCCTAGAGATAGTCTACAATACTTCAGGTCTTTAGCAGTGCATATGCCAGGGCAAGGATAACTTGCAGCCAAAGGCTTGCCCTTTTGAAAGTTGTTAGCTTGGGGTTGTTTTTTTTTTCAGAGAGAGAGAGAGAAAGAGAGAAAGAGACACTGACTCACCAGGAGTTTTGCATTTTTCATCCTTCTATTGCATTGAATTCATACTACCAGCGTCAGCTGAGGAGGAGAGATTTTATCATCATCCCAAATACCAAGAAAGGGTCTAGGTATTCAGCACACCAGCAACTTCCGCTGCTCGATTCAATGGACTCCAGTTTGTCTTGTGCTGAGGAGCCCTGGAGTAGACACAGCTCTGCAGATGCGGTCTTGAGTAGAGCTGAAGGATCCTGACCCTTACCTACTTTTAACTCTCTTCCTAATGCAGCACAGGATGCTGTTAGTCTTCTTTGCTTCAAGGGTGCATTGCTGGCAGGAGGTTAATTTGTTTTCCACCATGATCCCCAGATCTTCTCTGCAAAGCTGCTTTTCAGCCTGTTGTGCCCCAGCCCCTGTTGTCAGGGTTTATTCCTCACCAGCTACATTTCCCTTTTTTTGGCTCCAAGAGATTCCTGCCTGCCTACTTCTCTTTGCTTCAAGGGTGCATTGCTGGCAGGAGGTTAATTTGTTTTCCACCATGATCCCCAGATCTTCTCTGCAAAGCTGCTTTTCAGCCTGTTGTGCCCCAGCCCCTGTTGTCAGGGTTTATTCCTCACCAGCTACATTTCCCTTTTTTTGGCTCCAAGAGATTCCTGCCTGCCTATTTCTCCACCTGTCCCTCTGAATGGCAGCATGGCATCAACTATTGCATCAACTATTCCTGATTTTGAATCATGAGCTACCTTGTTGAGGGTGCAGTCTATCTCATATCAGGGTAATTAGTGGAGATATGAAACCCTATTGGCCTTGAGATGCACTGCTAGTGACTGACTAGGACTTTGTTACTTTGCTACTAGCCCAGCATTTAAGCCAATTTTCATTCCCACTTACTGTCTACTTGTTGATGCTTTATCAGTGTCTGTGAGGATTTTATGGAGGACATTCTCAAAAGCCTTGCTCAGGTCAAGATAACCAGCATGCACTCCTTTCCCCCTGTTCACTCCTCCAGCCTTCTCATGACAGAAGGCTATCAGGTTGGTCAAACATGGTTTCCCCTTCCGAAGTACATGCTGATTACTGCAGTCACCTTCTTGTCCTTAATATGTTTTGAAATGATTTCTGGGATATTTTTTCAACACCTGCCAGGACTGACCAGCCAGCAGTTCCACAAATCTTCCTCCTCAGCCTTCTTGAAGTGACATTTGCTTTCTTTGAATCCTTGTAAACTCTTTTAATGACTATTACTTTTCAAAGCTAATTAACAGTGACCTTGCATTGGCATTAGCCAGCTCCCTTAGCCCTCATAGGTGCATTCCTAGTGTACGCCTGATTTGTTACCTGATCCTCTTCTAATGGTAAGTCTTCCTTTCTCTAGACTTTCCCACTGGTCTCAGGGGCTTGGTATTCCAAAAGAATGGTCTTAGCAGTAAAGACAGCAGCAAAGAAGTCATTGAGTTACCTCAGCCTTTTATGGCCATTCCTGTTCATCAGCAGACCTAGACTTTCCCTGCTCTGTCATTTGCTGCTGTTACATCAGTAAAGGCTTTTCTTGATACCTTTCACATCCCTTGTTATCCACATTACGCTCCAGCGGGGCTTTTTCTTTCCTAAACCCTATCACTGCATACTCAGACAGTGTCTGTTCCTTCTGTGTTACCTGGCCTGCGTCCACCTCTGGTATCCTTCTGTTTTACGCTCAGTTCTGTCAGCAGCTCCTTGCTCATCCAACTAGATCTCCTGCTTTGCCCGATTTCCTCTCCATCCGGATGGACTGCTCCAGAGCCTGGAGGGGGTGAGCCTTGAAAATCGAGCAGCTTTCCTGGATCCCTCTTCTCTCCAGGGTTTGTGTTCTGTGGAATAGCCAAGTCTGGAGTTATGATCCTACTATTGTTCTGTTTCCTAGGATCTGAAACTCTGCTTCTTCATTGTCATTTCACGTGAGGCTGCCCACGACCTTTACATCTCTGACTGGTGGTTTGTAACCACCAGGTCCAGCAGAGCATCTCTCCTTATCAGCTCCTAAATCACCTGTGTCAGGAAGTTACCAATACACTCCCTAAACCTGGGTAGCTTGTGCCTGCTGTGCTGCACTTCCAGTTTGTGAGTTGGAGTGGGACCTTAAGCTTCCTTGTGAGACAGGACTTACAAAAAGAGGCTTTATCTGATAGTCCATAGAAGGTCTGTCCATAAAGCAGTCTGTGGCAGACCCATCACAACATTGCCTTTATTCCCAATTATGGAAATGCCATGTTTGAAGCAAAGAGAGAAGGTGCTTCACATATCCAGATTAGGAACTGTAATTATGTTTACACGTCTGTCTCCTCCCCCAGGTGTTTAGATACTGGACCAGTACTGGAGACTATATTATCAGTTATCCCTTATAAGAGGGATAATATAAGAGCAATAGGTTATCCTAGACACCCTTCAGGATTCTACAGGTCACTCTGGAGCTCTGCAGTTGCACATTCTGCAGCTCTGGACGCAGAGTTCCTGACCGCCTCTGAGAGTCCTTCAGATGTTAGCGTATCTGTGCCAATTAACGCTATGAGTTTCAAACTTAATAGAATACTTAAGTGATTTTCCTTAGAGAAGACCCACAAGAAAGCATGTACTAATTGGCTGGCTATTTGCAAGAAGATGAGTAACCAATGCAATAGATTATAATCTCAGTATATGTAATATGACATTATAACCTCTTTTCTTGAACACTTCAAAGAAAAAGAAAAAATAAAACTCAGCCAAGATTTCTTTATTCTTTATTAGCTGGCGTCTAATAAGTTAAACTGATTTTTTTTTTTCTTGCAGTAAGGACAGTCACAAAACTTTCTCCTGTGGATTTTTTTTTTTAACATCTAATAATTTTTGAGTCCGCGCTACAGTCTTAGTCTAATTCAATTTAAAAATTCACTCAACCTTGAGCTAGCAATCCATTAAAGATAGTCCTAATAATTTCCAGTGGTCATAGTGTGGCTGATTAAAGAATAAAGGCATATGGAATAATACTGAAAGTTACAATTGTTTCGTTTTTGGGTAATGTACTTTCCCGAGAGCTCTTAGCTGAGGATTCCTTCTAAGTAAATTAAACCGCCCCCTGCACTGAGTTCATGTGAATTCCCCGTTGAAGTTTAAAACTGAATATAGGCTGCATTTTCATCAGTATGTATATATTCTTTCACATATAATTGGTGTGAGTGTGGCTGCATTCCTTCAAACTATTTGAACTAAAATTTTAGAAGCATACTAGTTATTTAAATCTCATTCTGATTAAATATGGTGGTGACATCATTCTACAGAAGGTGAATTTAAAAATATAGAGTAATTCTACTGTTGTCATAGATGAATACTTATTCTTTGCATGTTCCAATTTGACTGATAGTTAGCTTGTTCTGCTAATCCTAAAGGCAGTTTAAGAACTTTAGCTAAGGAAGTTCCCATCTGCGTGCTTAAAAATAAGAAGTCATTGCTTGCAAAATTACCCTGTAAAACCCTTGAGTTTTTCAGCTACTGCAAGGAGTGAATTGCCTTTCTCCTGACTAGGGTAGTGTGCTAATGCTCTTCTGCATAGATACTTCCTTACTCTGAAATTCAGAGTAGTAGCAACTACCTCTAATTAATCTCATCCAATTGTGGCACCATGTAGGAAGCCCGTGAGTGCCAAACCTTCACCAGCATCTTACACAGTTCACCTGGTTGGGAAACAAGGAGGTAAAACTGTGTGAACAAGTTTGGGGGTTTTCTTTACTGTGCGTAGTGTCTGTACTAATGCAGGATCACCTCTGTTCTGAGAATAATAAACTGCTTCATTAAAAATTTTAGTATTAAAAGAGAAGGGAGGGGAAAAATAAAAGGCACAAAACCTTACTCTTTTAAGGTCCAAAACTAAAAAGCTGCAAGTTTTAGATCTTCTGTCTTCACAGCAGTTCAGTAGAATTTTACAAAAATTAAGAAACTTGCATTGGCCTCTGTCATTCAAAGATACCAGTTTCTTAATATTTGTAGAATAGGTGACATATCTGCTGCTTCATTTGTGACCAACTGTGTCTTGGGAACTGATGAATTGGTTCATTCTTTTGCACTTTGCCTACTTGTGTACTTTGCGTTTTCTTCCCTGCGCCATGTAGAGCTGAGCACTCTTCTGCATCAAAGGACACTCCTGCCTATTCTCAGAAGAGGGATGTGATATTGATGTGTTAATACTACAGCATTTATTAAATACCAACACATTAAAATATGTATGCATGCTTATAACATTGGTTTGTGTTTTAAAACCTAACTTCCATTATTTGTATATTTTAAGAGAATTATAGTAGACATTGTATGATGATCTAGCAATTGAGACAATAATTACTGAGAATCCTAGTGCAGTGCAAGTAGTTTATTTTATAACACTGCATGCTGTAAGGACCCTGGAATACTTTTTGTTGTTGAGATATATATATATATATATATAGAGAGAGAGAGAGAGAGATAGATATATACACACACACACCTTCCATTTTCTGCTTATTTTGAAAATACTGTCTTAAATTAGTCCATTTGAATAAATGAAAAAATATTATATTCTGGAAGAGTATATGCCATCATATTTATGAACATAATATCATCTTGCTCTTCAAAAACAATCTCTGAATTTTCATAGTAAAATATGAAATATTGACTTCACTGATAATTACCTATACAAAATTGTTCATTTTAAGTATTTTAATTAAGTATGGAAAAAGCAATCAATATACTCATATCTGTTTCTTATGTTACTAAAATGCTCTTTGTGTGATGTTTGCGGGTATTGGAAAGTACAAATGTGGGGAAAACATCCTTATAGGAAAGTGGCAATCATGGGAAATACTTTTCTTTCTTAGTTACTCTTCTGCTGTTTTGCATTGCCAACCATTTATGTCTTTCATAGTAACCAAATTAAGACACAATCTTGAAATTGAAACTAGCTAACATGAGTTTTATATTTATTTAGTGCTAATTATTATTCTTCACTTTGTCTGATACTCTAATGTACAGTGTATAATCTGGCAACCCTGATACCTGCATACACTTCATGCGTATCAATGCATACAGGTGCTTTTTCTGCAGAAATTCTTTTGCAGAAATAGAGTTTAAAAGATAGTAGACAAGCACTTTTCTGTAAGATGTTATTTTAAAATGACAATAGTTTCTATTTCTAGATGCGAGTTTTCAAATTGTGGGGGTTGGAATCATGTTCATTGTATGTAACTTTCGGTTTGTGGTTGAGAATGTTGGAGGAATAGAAGCATTATTAAACTGTGTTGTCTGTGCTACAAAAGGCTGAGGAACAAACTCCTTGGCTTTATTGAATGCTGCTGCTTCTGGCACTTGTGAGGTTGTGCATTCTGCTGCATGCACATCATTATGGTACAGGTCTTTTCAGATAGTGAAATCAGGTAATGATGTGGATTGGTGTGCCTTATACCACTAGATTTTGCTGATTTACTTCTGACAATTTGCACTTTCAAGATCTGCTTGTAGTTTTGCCATGAACTTCTATATAGTTTAGATATTGTTTAGATTGTGCAGTGTTGGTAGAGAAACTCACATATTGCATAGATTGAAAAATAAGCATTTAATGCAGTTCCGATGAGAGCTTTTAACAAGCAGAAAAATGAAACTGCAAACTATCTAGAATTTTACTTAAAGTGTGTTCCTGTTCAGCAGTTTGTTCTTAACATTTTTGTAGTCACAGTTAATATTGTATAATATTTATCAAAATATATTTAGATAGAATATTTATTCTCAAAATTTGAACTTTTTTTTTCTTCCTAGCTGAAGGACACTAAGTCAGCAGATCAAAAAACAACATTGCTCCATTTTCTGGTAGAAGTTTGTGAAGAAAAATATCAGGATGTCCTAAATTTTGTTGAGGATTTTCAGCATTTAGATAAAGCAAGTAAAGGTATGTATTAACTAAATGAAAGTTTTTTGATTCTGAGTGATTCTTTTTGATTTTTTTTTAACATTAATATTATTTTCGAAATTGATATTAATAGTATATGCCATACATCAGCAGTTTGAACTGTGGTAAAGTATTCTTGAAGATATTCATTGCTATTTATACTATTTCAATCTTTTAATCTTCTATATTGTAAGAGTAGTAGGTATTCAGTATCTTCTAATTCACAAATGTACAAGGGCTTTCATTTCAATTTTGTCCTTTTTAATATATTATATTTTTATAAATCAGAAAAAAATTCCTTCTGCATGTAAATTCTTCATGCAGCAGTAGCACCGGAAGTTGGGAAAACAAATTTGTCTTTTTACTGATTTATCATACAGTGTAGAATCTTGTAAATTGTCAGTATGAGCAGCAGCAGATTTCCACATTTAACTTCCTAATTAGGAGTTCCTTCTTCAAATAAACTCATAGTTTAACTTAAACTGGCAAAAGTGTGGAGTTAGAAGCTGACACCACCTCAGCACTGTCATGTTCTTGCAAGAAGGATGAAATACGGTGGGATTGGGTGGGATCCTGGCCTGCATCAGCAGGATTGTTGCCAGCAGGTCCAGGGAGGAGATCCTGCCCCTCTGCTCAGCTCTGGTGAGGCTGCACCTGAAGTATTGTGTGCAGTTCTGGGCTCCCCACTACAAGAGGGATGTGGAGCTTCTAGAGAGGGTCCTACATAGAGCGTTAAAGATGATTAAGGGACTGCAGCATCTATCATATGAGGAAGGACTAAGCGAGCTGGGCCTGTTTAGCTTGGAGAAGAGAACATTGAGAGGGGATCTGATCAATGTATATTGGAAGACCCAATTGAAGAATGTAAGAGGATGGGCCTAAACTCTTCTCGATGGTGGCCAGTGATAGGGCAAGGGGTAATGGGTACAAATTGAAACACAGGAAGTTCCATCTCCATGTGAAGAAGAACTTCTTTCCTGTAGGGGTGACAGAGCCCTGGAACAGGCTGCCCAGAGAGGCTGTGCAGTCTCCTTCTCTGGAGATCTTCCAAACCCACCTGGATGCCACCCTGTGCTCTAGGTGTCCCTGCTGGAGCAGGGGGGTTGGACTAGATGATCTCTAGAGGTCCCTTCCAACCTCAACCATTCTGTGATTCTGTGATGTCTGAGGTAATCGTATTTTAGCTTGTGTCCATTTGGGCCATATCTGTGTGTATCTGTATTGCTTTGCTCAGCTTCACTACTGTGCCTCACTCGAGCCTCCTTGCTACAAACTGTAGCTTTGCAGAGAGAACTTGAGATAGCAGTCACTCATGTAGATTTTTGTTTGTTACCACTCTTAGCATTTCCCATTTTAGTTTGTGCTTTATAAGCACTTAAAAATTCAGGTATATTCAAAGATATATACCTGCCAAATTCTTTCCAGTCCTTTATACAATTCTTTGTATCGGTAATATAGTTTCTCCTTTATATGTTCAGTATTTTCATGCACTGTTTTCGTAGAAACCACTGTTAATTTGTGACTGATTTTTCATGTTATTGTCTATATTGTGGTTGAATTTTGTATATCAGCCAGAATAACTAAACTGTGTTTTATTAGAGGTCATTTTTTCAGTATAGATAGTTGTCTTATATGAGGCTGCTGATTATTGTATGGCAAGCTTCTGAGATTATACATATATATATATATATATATGCGTGTATATATATATATATATATAAAGACCACACACAGTAGCTTGTAAAATTATCATTATTTGCTGGTAGACTTACTATCCTTTTTTTAAGTACCTTCTATTGGTTAGATGGATCTTTGTTCCAATTCAGCTATGCTGTAGGGCAAAAATCAATGAGCATGTGTTTTCAAGTTTATACATTACATTTGTTTCAGTGCATTAATTGAAAGGTTTTTGCATTTGCGTTTTATTGCGTAGAAAAGGCAGAGCCTCAGGATGTCTTTAATAGCTCAGTGTACCAGGGCATTTATCTAATTAAGTGGCTATTTTTGTTTAAGATCTCCAAAAGGTCAGTTCAGAATTGTTTATGAGTAACCTCTGGTTACAGTCAGCTATATCCAGCCTAATGGACTAACTTGGTTTTATTCATTCTACTGATACATTGATCAATGCTAACAGGTTAACCACGAATGCTGCTGATCTTTTCCTTAACATTGTCTCAAATTGCTTCCTTTATAAAATCTCGCTGAGATTAGATGACAATTCTGGTGTACCAAGATGGTCTTAAATCATCTATGTATCAGCCTAATAAACAGCAACCAGGTAATGATCTTTGTGATTCTAAACTAACGTATACAGACATCTTCCTTAATTCCTAGAGCTCTAAATTACCTATTTTAGAATATAACCATAAGTGCTTCTATATTTTAGCCCTTCTCATTAACTGGTATTATTTTGAATAAGTTGTTGTAACATTCTTTGTTGCTCTGCGTTCTACTAGTTCATTAATTTAGTCTTTTTTTCCTCCCTTGCATGTTTTGATTTTGGAATTTATGCATGAATAAAGGGCAAATGCCAAATTTTAATAGGATTTGGCAGTTCTACAGCACCTCTATTTTTGCATTATCGCTTGTAGAGTGAGCTGGTAAACACAGATGTTACAAAGAATTGTGCTCAGTAGGGAGATTGAGATGGAAAGTCATTAAAAAATCTTGTAATTTGATGATTTTCTAGTCAAATAGGTTAATTTCTAGGCAATATACTGGTTGTGTTCTGATAGAATTTGGATATACAGCTAGGAGTTTCTCCTGCATCCCAAGAAACAGAATTTAGGAATAATCCTTTCTAGATGTGAGGAAGAACTTCTATACTGTGTGGGTGACAGAGCCCTGGAACAGGCTGCCCGGAGAGGTTGTGGAGTCTCGTTCTCTGGAGATCTTCAAAACCCACCTGGATGCCACCCTGTGCCACGTGCTCTAGGTGTCCCTGCTGGAGCAGAGGGGTTGGACTAGATGGTCTCTAGAGGTCTCTTCCAATCTCAACCAGTCTGTGGTTCTGTGATTCTTTACTCGAGGCAGTTGAAACTTCTATTAGAAGTAGAATAGAATAGAAGTTGAAACTTCTATTAAATTTGGAGGATTGCTGGCCATGAGGGTTGTGACTAAGTGTTCCAGGATGATGATAGCACAGGAGGGGGGAACTCAACCTACCTTTTCCCTGTCATCTCATAGGAAGCTTCTGCTTACATATGTGCTTCTGTGGTGGAAAAATTGTTTCATGAAGAAATACATGATACTTTTCTGGATTTTTATCATAATAATACAATGCTCAGTTTTTATGTGGCGCATATTAGGGGCAGCACACTTCTCTTCATGGTTGCACTAAACTCTTTTTTTTTTTTTTTTGTAATTAATACTGAAGAATAAATCTATGAAGGTCAATAAGAATATTCTTTTCTTCCATAGCTTTGTTGTAAGCTTTGTTGTTTTTGTTGTGAGCTTTTATATCATGTCTGCATATTTGTTTCTGTAAATAAAATGTGAGATTATTGTGTCATAAAGCTATTATCGGCAAATGCCCTTTTAAATTATAAATCAAACTTTTATGTCCAATATTGTTCAAATGCTGTTTACACATCTCTTGCTAGAAGAATTCTAATTTGAGCATGCCCTATAGAACTCTTGGTTCTCTTTATTATTTTTTGTTTGATATTCTGTTTGTGTGACCAACAAGAGATTGATGACACTCTTAGTACAAGTTTCTCCCCAGCTCTTTCAAAGATGCCTTTTGGAGTTCTTGGTTGATACAGCTCTGCTCGTAGCAGCCGGCTCCTGTGCAGTGCACCTGGTAACTCCTTCATTTCAAGTCATTCAATCCTAGAACTTTTCTCTCAAGCTGGCTGAAAATAATGTTCAAATTAGTGAACACTTCTCTTTTCCATCATTCATATTTGTACATATTTTTTGTTTGCCTCTTCTCCCTGAATTTCTTAAAATACTGTTTCCATATTTTTGTCAGTTTTTAAATCATTTTTTCCCCATGTTCTTATCAGTTATGTCATGAAAGTTGTTTTATACCAGGTGCATTCTGGCTCGTCTTTTTCTCTAGGATCCTGCAGGTTCCACATACATCTATTGCAATGTTTACAATTCATTTTTAATCAAACAATTATTTTTTGCTTTTGAAAGCTATGCATTGATGTTTGACTCTCATAAAATGTGATAGCAAGCTGTTTTATCATTTTAGAAGAAATATTCTTGTTCCTTGTGTTTCTTCAAATAGTTTCCATAATATTGTTTTGTGTGTCATTTGTTAAGAGCAGTATTATGTCTGTTGTCAAACTAATATCTATTTTATAGTACTTTATACATGTTAGTATAATTCCTAAAATGAGGACTTCAAAATGTGTAAATTCACCACTAGAAATATGTATCTAAAAAAAATCCTCTATTAGAGAAGGAATTTTTAGATTTTATACGTATATATCTGTGGTAGGCAAGCAGCAAGGGGCACGTGACCGATGCAATAGTAGTTTACTTCAGGTTATTAAATTTATTTTCTCCATTATGTGCTAAGGTTTTTATTTCTGCTTTTGTAATACTAGAAGTAGGCTTAATGCACTGCTGCAGTACATGAATTAAAGATACCTTTTTTCTTTGAAGTATAACAAATTCTGTTTTTTAAGTACTTGTAGATCAGCAAGAACAGCTTTTATTGCAACTAATGAGCTTACTGATAGGACAGTTTCTGAAGATTCATTTAATTAAAACTGTCTCTTCCCTTAAACATAATGACTTTCTCACTTTTCTGTTAGTATTCCAGACAAATAATATTTTGGTAATTTTGTACACTTCACTAATTCCTCATTTTCTTGCATTCTAAAGGTTTATATTGTATTTATATAGACTACCATTTTCTTTGATTGTAATTTTAAACCAACCTTACAGGTAAAGTGTGTAGAGACTGTTCCTCTCACTTTGTAAGAAAAATATGAAGCTGCAGGTTTTTCTTCCTCTAAAAGCCATTATTCTGCCATTTTACAAGT